ACACAAACATCTTTTTCTCTTGTGTTACTTTTTGAACTTGGTCTCCTTCCCCACCAGAACCCAACCACAAAGTTTTTCACTGCAAGTAGACAAACCCTTCACAAGAAATGGAGGACAACAATAATAATTCTCGCATTTGATACAGCTCCTTATCACTTGTTCGAGACGTCTCAAAGCGCTTCACAGAATATACTGTAAAGTGAATTGACTGTATATTTTGTGGGCGAACATCACTGAGGAAGAGAAGGAAACTTCTCTCTTTGGTTCCTTCCCTTCCTACCCCTTCCCCAAAGTATGTGGCATTCCAACTCACAACCAAACCATAAAAAAGAAAAACAAATCTCAGGTACAGGGTAGTGAAGTGCAAGTGTCTGTAAATGCCAGGATTTGAACAAAAGGCATCTGAACAGGAACCCAACATTTCAACTCAGAAGCTGCTTTTCCAGTCCAACCTGAGTTGCACTTAAAATGTAATAGAACAATAGCAAATGCAGTTCAACATTGCAAAATGTAATGTAATGAACTTTGAAAGGCAAGCAAGAAATGTAGAAACATTTAATAATAATAATATGAGATGGGAAGATAAATAGATCTAAATAAAGGATTAAGATAAATAGATCTAAATAAAGGATTAAGGATTAAAGAATATACAAGTCAATGAAAGCTATCTCGCAGGGAGGTTAGGATTCAGCACAAGAGATCTGGAATACAAAAGCAAGGAAGCACAATCTCAATTGGTCCAATCTGATTTCATTTTGGGAGTCCCATCTTCCAAAAGGATGTACTACTGCCTTAGAGCAAACCCAGCAACGATTCATCACTTTAACACCTGGATGAAGGAACACATCTACCCAATGATCTGAATAAACTTGTATTATTCTTATATTACATATAATAAACATATTTTCTCGAGCTCAAGATATTGAGGAGTGAACTAAATTAACATGTTAAAATAATAGAGTTGAACAAGTAGATAGGATGACTACCTTCTTGTACAATCAAGAACAAGAACATTTTAACTTAGAATTATGAGTTAAACAAACCTAGTTAATCTAGAAACAAAACATTTGGTCTTATCTTCAAGAAGCCATGCAAAGGAGTCTGAGGACTGGCGGAGGGATCCAAGGAGGCTAAATGAATTTTAAAAACAGGTAAGTGAAAGAGAAATAACTAAAGTACAGCACTTTTCCCTATAATTCTTGCTAAATGGTAATGTGCAAAACAAACCATCAGGTCAAGTATCATGTGAGAAACATGCATTCTGAATGATGCAATGCATCGGAGGTAGAAGAAAGAGTAAGGGACTGGATGTGGGGGGAGGAAGGATAATTGGGGGTCGAACCTGACGCCTAGGTTGCGTACGGGTTCGGAGAGCTTTACAGGGAGGTTGGGTAGGTGGAGGAGGTGAGAACTGTGAATTTTAGACGTTGACGAGAGCCAGAGTATGGCTTCCGTCTTGTCCGTTTTCCACATTATAACACAATCTTTTACTTTATTCACTTTATCCAAGTCTCAACAAGAAAGATTTTCACATCTTTCCAACAAGAAGGTCAAGGATTAGAAATGAAAAACAAACTTTTCCTTGAGATTTTGCTTAAAAGGACAACTGCACAGGGCGGTAGAGAACATTGTCTCAACTGTCAAGGTATCAGACACGTAACACAATTATAAAAAAGAGAAACAAATCTCTCTATCCGCATTATATCCAATTCACCCTTTCCCAACACAAAATAGTGTCTTTTCAGCAACAGACAGACACCAGGAGGAAGAAACATTCCGTCTAATTTCAAAGGGTGTACAATCAAACCTTGATCACAAATTCCTTGAAACCAGCCAAGCAGTTGAGAATATTCGTCCAATCCCACACCTCTACTGTCGGGGTCTGCTGTTAGTCAGTAAAACATGAAACCATTTATAATATAACCATTTGACAGCAGTAAAAGAATGTGCTGTAATTTTAAACTAGAAGTTCAACAGGTCTGTGAAACCAAGAATGAAAACCGTACACTCCATTCCAACCAAGGCTTTCATCATTTGTAAATCAGGAATGATTCCTGTCCCACTCTCCCCAGACACAGTTGTTTCCTCACAGGCTGCGCTGTATACTGTTTTGACATTTCACATGTGAAAACCCAGATTTGAAAATAATTTTAGTCAAGACCCATTTAAAAAATATATCAAAACAAAAACTCTTGACTAGCTTCATGCATTTTTTTTCAAAAAAGTTATGTTTGATATCGCTTCCTGTGTTTTTTTAAACACTCCTAGTTTGATTTTGGATTGATTCTGAATTAAAATGCAAATCATTGATACCCGTTCTTCAGTTTGTACAGCTACTGTAAATAAGTGACAATTCAAAACAAATAGAACAATTGTAGGGACGCTGCACTGAACTAAAATATAACAGAGAAATATGTACCCAGGAGTATGTGATAATCTCCAATACTGACTCAAAGTGAAGACAGCTACCAAAACGTGTTATTACAGGAACCTTACATGACTCAGAAATAATGAACTTAATCATGACTGTTTAAGAACCTTAAGTAAAATCAATGAAAGACGGTTATGTTATGTAATGAGTCATTGTTAAGTGTTTGGTTGACAAGGTCGGCTAAGGACTATAGCAAATACTTTCGATGGCGATGTTGGAAATCTGAAATAAAAACAGCAAAGGCTGGACTGGAATCTCGCTGAAATCGATCAGGCATAATATTAATAATATTAATAATAATCCTTGCATTTGATACAGCTCCTTATCACATCATTGAGGCCTCTCAAAGCGCTTCACAGAATATATAGTAAAGTGGATTGACTGTATTTTGTGGGTGAAACACGACAGTCAATTCGCACAGTAATGTCACACAAACAGTCGAGGATTGAGTGATTGAATGTTTTGGTTTTTGAGGGAATATTACCCACGGAACGTGATCTACCATTTGACTAACAACTGGATCCCTACTTACTGCTAGATAAACAGAGGCATGTGGACTAAAAGAGAAAGACAGGTTAGTTAATGCTTCAAAGTGACCTTGCATAAGACCAGGAATTGTTGGGATGGAAATGTGTAGGATTGAAGGTGGCACGAAGGGACACATCAAGAAAACAAAGACATTAGGAAGAAGTAGAAAAAAGGAGTGAGGTGTGAGCAGTTTGGAGAGGTAGACCGCTCCCGGGCATAAAGTCATTTAGAGGCAAGTGTGAGGATCTTGAAATCGATCTGCTCTCTTTGCTACGCTGCTCCATTTAAAATCTTACTGTTTAAGCTTTAATTATTTTTCTTATTCTTACACTAAAATTTACAACTTTACATTTTCCAATAACTATCAAAACAATGAAGAATTTAGATAATAAAAGGTGAGAATACGAGATTATTACTACACAGTGCAGGATGCTAATCTGAACTACCAGTACAACAATAGTATGGAAGTGTTTAAACATGTCTCCAAATCACGCTCTAAATACGTCAGATTTCTGTGTACCTAATTAATTTGTTTGAGTTGCACAAAGTTTAGGTCAGAAATATCCATGTGTAAGTAATTATAAATGGAATCCTGTAGCTTAGTTGTTAGAGCACTCGCTTTGCAAGCGAGAGGACCTGGGTTCAATTCCTAGGCAGGGTGAAACAATAGGAAAGTTTCCTTACTCCACAGACCCTGTTTCCCCAGAAATAAGCAGGAACCTGGGTGTTAGTCGATTGGTGATCGCTTTTCTGGGGGTAATAATGCCTTCCAAAAAAATATTTTTTAAGTATTAATTATTTGGTTTCTCAATCCACGTGGGACACTGCTGTGCGCTGTGCGCAACTGGCTGCTGCATTTCGCCCACAAAATATGCAGTCAATTCCCTTTGAGGTATATTCTGTGAAGCGATTTGAGACGTCTGGAAGACGTGATAAGGCGCTATATAATACAGAAATATTGCTGCATCACTGGGAACTGACGTACATCCATTACAGACCACAAAGAAAGGCAACGGACTCTCACACGCACTGAATACCCAGAAAAGCCACACTATGCATGCAATAAAAATAAACAACACTGTTCAAAATAAGACTACAGAAGTTTTTTTTATAATTTAAATATCCAAAATTGATTTGCCCTCAAATTCGTGCTTCATTTCCATAGTGGACTAATTACTGCCTGAACTGTCCGTCAGTCCTCATTCCTACACATATTTTCCATATAATTTGAGCCAACATGTAATTATAAAATGCCTGTCTGCAGCGAATCCTGCACATTTTTTCCACAACATTTCGGCCAAAACATCTTTACAAATAACTTATAGAATTCCAATTATTTTATGATTTTTTTGATCAGTCTCCCTCAAAAATCGACCTGTGAAATACAAGTCTTATTGTTTTCCTGAATTCAAAGATTCAATAACTAACTGACAAATCTCGCTGGGACCTGTTGGGCATGTTTTAGTCAACTGGAACAATGGGAGAAACATTTTACTGGAGTTATTGAGAAAACAAACACGGACATCTTAGTTTAATTTTGTGGTCGCAAAAGCATTCGAATGAAAAGGGCAAACCATTTTGTGATGAGCAAACATATACAATAAAATAAAGTAAAAAGGGCATGCAGTTAGCCACACATTTTTTTCTTTAAGTTCTGACTTTGTTATGAAGTTGACATAAAGGGCAAATATGGAATTCCAACAGGCACATCAAGTATGGGATGAGCAAGGGAATTGCATTGCATGTTTAACCTGACCGTGACTGCCCAGTGGATTACAGTGCAGCCGCTTCTCATAAACTCTCGTTGTGAATTGCTAGACAATTAGCATTGTTTCAGGACACTGTCACATAAACGCAATTTAAAAGTACTACAGAAGAAATATGAAATCGGGTTGTGTCCACAATCTAGGATTTTAAACCATAATAAATGAGAGACTTCATTTCCTCCAAGAAAAGATTTTCCCAAACAATTGTCATTGTTGACAATGTTATATTGCTATAGTATAGCATTATGTAACCTGGCCTTGGTGAAACCACTTACTGTTCCGCAAACTTTAACATCGTGTAACCGGCCCCACTCGTCTTCATGGCTGTCAACCATCATGACACTGTCGTCCTCGTCTCGTCCCCACTCTGCCTGTAGATCAATGCGGACTTCTTCTCCCAGCGAGTGCATCCCAACTGCTGGGAATAGGCCATCTGGAGATACCGCCAGAACCACAGATCCAATCTGCAGACATAGAGAACAAAAGTTCCATCAATTTTCATTTACAGAGAGAGCGCTTGGAGTGTGAAATTCTCTGCCACAAACCACAGATGAAGAAAAGACCATCAGATCTTTAAAAAAAATCATGAAGGGGAGGAATATTAAAGGATGCAGGAAGTTAACAGAAGAATAAGGTAGATTAGATGGTTCTTGGGAAGAAAAACACCAGCACAAACTTGATGAACTGAAAAGCATGCTTCTGTATATTTAGAATATTCACCAGATTAACACCTGGGATGAGGGGCTGGGTATTCCTTAGAGGTGAAAAAGTTGAGAGGGACATGACTGAGCAGTTTAAAATACTGAAGAAAATTGACAAGCTAGATAGAGGATTCCAGTAAATAAATTCCAAACAATTGGGCATAATCTTAAAATTAAAGTTAAACTAATTAGAAGTGAAAATGAGAAAACATTTCTTCACATGGTGGATTGTGATTATGTGATGATTCACTGCCCAGAAGGCCGTGGATGCAGAATCAATACTTTAATTGCAATGTAACTAATGATTTATACAGATATACATATGCAAAATAACCTATATTAAGTATTTATACAGTTTGGATATTCTTAATTTACATATGCAGTAACCCTGATGATTTCTGCATGTGTTAAGACCAAATAAAATACAGATTTAACATGTCACATTATCCTTTTATATTCTGTATATACCCCTACTTATAAAAGCTGGGATCCCATTGGTGTTTTCATTTTAGAGCTTTATGAACCTGCCCATCCATCTTCAAAGATTTGTGTACATTAACATTCCCAGTCTCTGCTTTTTAAAAAAACATTTAGTGTATATATGCTCTCCTTATTCTTCCTCCCAAAATGCATCTCCTCACACTTCCTGCTTTAATTTAGCGGCTCTCTCTCTGCCCAATCCAAGCCAGCCTGTCTCAGTTATTTGCGCTCTCATCTCTGAGTAGAATTTGTGGTTCCAGCACTGAAATGCAAGGATGACTGAGTAATAGCTATATATAGTACATGCACGGCTCCTACAGAATGTGTTTCACTACATAATGCACTATACTGGCACTGTACACAGTGTTGAGATTAAATATATTCATTGTTCTGCCTGGTTTGTGAATCTTACCCCCCGTAATGAGTTCTTCCTTGAATTCAAAGAGAATTCTTCAGTTATTTCCTGAAAGATGCATTTGCCAGTGATTTTACCAGTGTTTAGAGTCATAAATAGATCATTTGTGATGTATTGAGGCAATATTCCTCGTTCCTCAGCTCAGCTCTGGCTTGTCTTTTACGCTGCATAACTATACCTACTACGTAATGGTTATAAATCTTCTATGTTGCATAACTCCTGTTTTGGTTGCATTTAACATTATGAAAAATGAATCCCTTTTTTAGAAACTCAGCAGCCTTTCAAATAATTCACCCGAACAAGTCATGAACGAGGCAAGTCGTTCTCTCCCTTTGTGACGCTCAGGATAATGTGGAAATGCAATGATTAATCAAAAGGACAATCAATGCAGTTAGTTTTTACTTTCTTTCAAAAGGAAAATGTTTGTTATCTCAGTAAATCTTTCAAATTATTGTAAGGGAACAAAAGTGCAGGATTTCTGGAGTATTAATCATTATTGTTACAGCATGGTGCCGTGAGTTTGCATTCTGGCAAACATCAGGGTTTGAGATTGATTACTCCTGTCACTAATGAGACCAGTCACAACACTGCACCACTAAAAACTAAAATGGGCTAAAACAAGACACGCAGCATCCATAAACCACACTTCACATACAGTCATTCTGGATTATACGCTGTCAAATCTTCACTATTGCATGTCACCGTCTTAGTTTAGTTTCCGACAAGGCAACAATCCCCCAACCCTGTGCTGGAGTGTCAGCCCAATGAGGTCAAAGTCCCAATGTGGTGCTTAAACCTACAACCACCTGACCCAGAAGCAAGAGCTTCAGCAAATGAGCCAAGCTGATACCCTGTGGCAGCAGAATTTTAGGTCTAAAGTGGAAAGAACCGCAAATTGTGTTTATATAGCGCTGTAACGTCGGGAGGACGTTCCAAGACACAGAACAGTCAAAGGTTTGCACCCAGGCTGGGGGTTGTATTCTGGAGGAGTGGAGGCAAGTAGGTGGCAGAGGGGGGCGAAGATGACGAAAGGCACATCAAAATATGTTTTACTACTAACTGAACTTGAATTGTGTCGTAACAAAGAGAAAATTACTGTTCCCCCACCTCTTTCCCGTTTCTTGTGAAAAACACTGTTGCCATTCCTCGGTCAAAGGATTCTATGTATATGCCACAGCCTATTCTGTCACCGGTAAAGCATTTTGGTCCAAACTGCTGACCCAATCCATTTCCATTAAACAACCTTTAAGAGAAGAGAGAAAATAAACAAAGTCAATCAATTCAGGAATGGGAGAGTGCTTTCCCAACCCATCAGCATCCTCGACAAAGGTTTTTTCACAGATCAGTGACCTTGTGTTTTAAAACCGAAGCACAGCAACTGAAGTCGTTGGCGATGGAGCAGGGCTTAAACTAAAGTGACCAATGCCCAAAGTATTCTGTCTGCACGTCACTGCGAACTGGAAAAGAATGACAATCGTTTCTAAAATGTTGCTTCGAGCAGGCTGCCTGCTCCTGGGTCTCTGCCAACGCTCCTGTGTAGCTAACGACTGCAAGGCACACAAGTCATCTGATCTGATTTTCCATCATCCATGTGGGGAAGCACCTCCCTCAACGGTCACCAGAGACCAGTCGACATCGTACCACTCCCTGGGACTACATGCTGGCAACCACCCCACCCACCCCATTAAACACAGACACAGACACTTCATAACCACACAACCTGATTTCTGGATTTAGCCATCTTTGTTGATGAAAAGTTGTTTATTTGTATTATTTCAGTAAATAAAAAGTTCTAAAAATAATTTTCCACACGAGTTGATCCAGATGGGCCCCTTCGTGTTTGAAAATACAGAACCCAGTGGGCCGTTTCCATAATCATCTGAAGGTCTGTTTATACCTGTTCAAATTATTTTAGTTGCTGTTAATACTCACTTGCCATCGTCTGCATGATAAGCGACAGAATGTGGCAGCCACCCTGGTTGGTAATCTAGTTTATAATACTGAGGCACGAGTCCCACTGCAATGGTCCCTCTCACACCAGTGTCCACTATACATACCTGCAGTGAGAAAATAGATTCAAGTTTAGTTAGAAAGATATTGGGTGAGGCTGTTGTTTCCATCAGAACACAATTGTGTTAGGCCGCCTGCATTCCAGGCACACGGCAAATGCATGGAAACACAGCAAAAGGTGAATAACATGCTTTGGAATGAAAATACAGTCTACCATAAATAGCCAAGTTCTTAATGATGCTGAGGAACAGAAAGGGCTAGGGAAGCTGATGCATAGATTTGTAAACGTAGAAAAGGCCATAAAGAAGCAAGTGGGATTCTGGATTAGAAATTTACAGCACAAAAGAAGGCCATTTGGCTTAGTGTATCTGTGCTACTCTTAAAAGAAATTCTGTCAATCCTATTTATCTGCCCACTATCCAACATATCAATTCCTTTCAAATTCCTTTTTCCTTTTAAAAGCTGCAATCAAATCATTCCTTAACCTTCTCTGCTTTGAGAATATAAGAAACTTCACATGTAGAGTCCACACATCTGATTATACAATACTGTGCAGCAATTACCACTGAAAAGTTCACAGGTTGAATTCCTCCACCCCCTCAAGTTAATAGCAAATGGAGGTTTCTCATACAAGGAGAAGCTTGGTTGCGTTCCTCAGTCCTCTTGTCTGCCTCCCCCACCTCCCAGCTTCTGGTTAATAATCCCTCCCGTCCTGTTAACACCTAATCCAAAAGACAACATGTCCAACAATGCTGGCAATCCCCTGATACTGCACAGGAATATCAACCTCAACTACATGATCATGGTGAGATTCATTTTTACTGCTCTCAATAGGATCCTTTGAATCAATGAATCAGCATGAAAATATCTTGTGAAGAACAACAAGACGTTGATTTCTATTGGAAAAAAGAACAGCCAAATTTCTTCCAATTTGGGGTTGTATCCAGTTCTATGGTCCACATTTCTTCATCCTCTCCACAAAGTTAGACTCTTCTGAGCTATCAAATAAGAACCAACAAAATAGGCAGTGAGGAAAACAAAGATAAGACATTGGAACAGGAGAAGAGCATTTGTCCCATCAAGCCTCTCCCACCACTTTCCAAGATTATTGCCGGCAATTCAATTCCATCTCCCTGTGCTCTCTCCATACTCTGATACCACTGTCTACCATGTATCTATCTATTTGCCTTTTAAATTCTTCAACTGATTCTGCCTACACTGCCCTCTGGGGAAGTGAATTTCACACTCCCACCATCTGTTTCGTGAAAACAAGGTTCCGTATTTCACTTTTTAAATGGTTTAGCCTCAAGCTTAAGATTATGGCGCTGGGAGAATCTCCTTTCTCGTTTTGAAAACGGGCAAGTGCCACTTGAACAGGCAGAAGGGACCTCATTTTAATGCCTAATCCATGTGACTTCAACCCACAATCTTCCGACAAGTAAGTGTTACCACTGAGCCAAACTGGCCCTTGACACTAAGAATCAACCAAAGTAAGTGCACGCACTCTAAAGCCAATATATCCTACCCGACATTTGCTCCCCCAAACTGCACACAATACTCCAAACGGGGTCTGTCAAGAGTTTTATACAATTATAAATCACTTCTTGACTCTTGTATTCCCTTGTGATAAGCACCAACACTTCTTGAGACTTTTTCATTACCTCCTGTACCTGTGCGCTACTTTTTAAAAAATTATGAGCCTGAACAACTAGATCCTTTTGTTCACTGACCCCACTAAGTGTTTCTCCGCCAAGATGTCCCAAGTTGCATGAATTAAACTGGGCAATACGATTTTAATATATTGTGTTATTATATCTTTTTAAGCTATTTGAATTTCACTAGACTTTGAAAATCCCTCTCGGTAACCAATTCACTTTCATTGGGTGGGAAAACCCTGAACTATAGGTGGCTAATTTGGTTCACTCTTCATTCCTTGTTAATAAGCAGGTGAAACAATGAGAATTGACACTGACAGTTAGGAGATCAGTCTGAATGAAAGCAATTTATTTCCTTAGTTGTGGTTTTCGTTAAAATAAATCTAAAACCATTTCTTACTATTAAGCACTTAAAGTCATTAAAGGTCAAGCTCCTATACAGCATCTCTTGCTGCCAATTTCTGCAGCTGCATACGGATGGCTTGACCTCAGCTGGCTTAATGTTAGTGTTCTTACAGCAATTCATACGCAGAGAAGCAATTTGATTAAAGGCCTGAACATCTTACTACCTCTGCTAAAAGTTATTCAGAATGAGCTGAATGTTTTTTTACACGTCAACAAATATTGTCCTTAGACAGCAGTTTCACCTTACATGACTGCATTCTTCAGCTGGTAAGTAACCTAACTTGTTTTAACTGCAGTCTGACTGGCAACGCACCATAGACTGTAATTTCACAAATCTGTCTGCCACACACAGGAATTCCTTCTCCTTAGATCAGTCACACAGAAAAAGTTGCACATTTAAATGCACATACCTCAAAATAATTGTTCTCTTTATTCAGGGGACGAGGGGCAATATAACAACCAACTTCATCAGAGTTTCCGTGGTAACTGAAAAGTCACAGAAAGATTCAGTTTCAATTCAACGGAGGACTTGTTCCCATTTCAACCAACTTATTAAATGCACTTCTCTATAAAAGGAATTCAGGTTTGCCTCACATTCAGGATCCACATCACAATTTTTAGCCACTAATTTCAACTGGGAGCTTTGTCACTTAAACAAAAATCACGTGTAGGTGACTGTAGGTGTCATATTTTTGTGGACCTCTGTCAGGTCTGGATACGCTGAAGCATGGCTTTCTGCATGTCAGACATCCAGTTGACCAATGCAAAAAATGCTACCCCATGGATTACACAGAAAAGTTGTATAAAGTGCATTTTTCTGCTATCTGCAGTGCAATAATCCCTTTCCCTTCATTTGGTTTGCTTTGCTCCTTATGAGGGAGAGGGGAAGATGGTGCAGGAGAACATAGGCATCAACAAAAAAAATAACATTTTATCCTTTTCTTCATGTACTGCAAGAAAGCAAAATCTCATTTTACAAAACGAATTAGAGGTTAGGAAAAAAATGCGTTTTCGCAGAAGGAGATACCAGTGACTGTGTGTGGGACACTGCTGTGCGCAATTGGCTGCCCAGTTTCATGCACAAAATATACAGTCACTACACTACAGTATATTCTGTGAAGCAATTTAAGACGTCTCAACAACGTGATAAGGCACTACATCAAATAAAAGTATTATACTATGACTGTCAAGCCCAAGAGCTGAAGACACGGAGTGACGAATACCTCACAAGATTGGAGGGTCATTGGTAATTTATACAGAGCAGTGGCTTACCTAAGGGAAAGTTTTATTGTAACCGTATGCCATTAACTTTTACATTAACTTCATGAGTGGTTCATGGGATGGGAGGGAGTTTGGGGAGAGAAGGTTTGGGCATCAATCTGTCATGTTATGCATCTGGTATCACTTAGTGGTTTGTTTTCCACACACCACTCAAGAAACATCTATATTATATATAGACACATAGACTTTTTATTATATAGTCTTTAACTATCTTTAACTATGCCCCACTGATCGTTTTGCCTCCAGTCTCGGCGTGAGTGTTTTGGCTGCTGCCCCGACTCGAGCCAACCCCCCACCCCCCCACCTCCTAAAATGTCCTCACTTCGCTAAGAGCGACATTTTATATTAACAACAACAAAATTACAATTTTATGGCGCCTTTCACGACGGGAGGACTTCCCAAGGCGCTGGACCATCAGTGTTTCGCACCCGAGCTGGGGGTTGGCATCAGGGAGAGTGGAGGGCAGGGGGGTGATTGAAGGCCCGGTCGAAGAGGAGGGTCTTGAGACGGGTCTTGAAGGAGGCAAGGGATGGGGCGAGGTGGAGGGACTGCGGGATGGAGTTCCAGAAGGTGGGGGCAGAGTGGCTAAAGGCCCGCCTGCCAATGGCGAGGTGGGGGATGTGAAACAGGCCGGAGCCCATTGAGCGGAGGGATTGCGCAGGTTGGAGTGGAGGACATGCAAAGCAAGAGAACTACCTGCCCTATGTCTCCTAATGTATTTATTCCATTAATCTGAGCAGATAGATATTGATGTACGATTTATATCTAGATTTGGAGTTACCGAGTTTCAACTGACAAAACACAGATTGATGTTGGGGAAAATGTACAGCACTGTGTACTGGTTCCCAATACTAAATCTTCCTTTAGATACGAATGTAAAGCTAGGAGTATGTGCCCCACCCCAAATAAAAATTACTGTACTCTTAATTGCAGGACTCCTCTGCCACATGAGGTAAAAATATCATTCAAAGCACTGAACTCTAAAGATATCTGGAACCATTGGCAAGTTGTAAATAATCAAATGTTACACAGCAAATTAGACATCTAATAAACACCAGAACAATACAAATTAACTTTGATGCACTGACATTTTCAGATGGGTAACAGCTTTCAAAACAGAGGAAAAAATAAAACGAAATCTCTCAATTTGTTCCAATAGGAATGTGAGAAATCACAAACTTTTCTATTGTAACATTCCAACACTGAGAAACTACTAGAAAATACTGTGGCTTACATCACAACAGTTACTGATTTCCTTATATACATGCAACTTGCTCTTTTCCAAGTGCTTGCTATTCTGATAAAGTAGGACATCATTACCTCAATATATCTCCATCAACAAGAATGCGTTTGTATCTCTCTTGGTAATGCACCGCCCGCACTTCTCTGATTTCTCTTATTCTTCTTCTCCAGTTAAGGAACCTGTAGTGTAAATTGAAGTCCTCCATTTCCCACTGCGGACCTTATAGGATGAAGGATAAATGTTTTTAGAGGCCGGTTCTCAAGTTCAGTCGTTTAGCTAATTAGCCGAGTTGTCCAGATCTGCAGTTATTATTTTACCGAGGCCAATCTAAACCGCTGCCAAGATAAAAGTCTGTGTCAACTGCTGCATTTGGATTTTGAATTCAATCCAAGTTAAAATAACTTTTACTGATTTGATGAATCATTTAATTTGGGTGTATTGATCAATCTTGAAAGGCTTACAATTTATATTCCTTTGAACAGCTCATGCTATGTAAGAACAGTAAAGAGTAGAAACAAGATTATAATGTTTTAATTATTAATTATATTATTAATAATCCCCTATAAAAAATTATAGAACAGAAGGAGGCCATTCAGCCTAACCAACTTGCTCTGTATTTCTATGGAAACTCTTTAATTACATTTTCCCACCTTTTCCCCTATCTCCCTAAATATTCTACCTTACTAAATATCACTCTATCTCTTAAATGTCTCAAGCGACTGTATTTATGTTTTTTGTGACGGTCTGTTCTACATTGTGATAACCCTTTGTGCAAAGGATTGATTTTTGAACTCCCCCTCTCACTGGCTCAATTTTAATTTCGAGTGTCCTCTTGTCCTGAATTTTCCAAGTGTCACTTCATATTTACTTTGTTATATGATTTACAGTGAAAAAGCATCAGAAATAATCGAAACAATCAATAAAATCTTTAAACAATCAGCATCCACCGTGAATACAGAAATGTCTTGGAAGCAATGATGGGACAGAATAAATCACTGGTCGATAAAACAATAAAAAATCAGGTTTTGTTATAGAAATTGTATTCATTTCCAAAATTATCCCATGTGTCGCGATCTTGCTGCGTGAGATGCTAACATGTTTACTACACTCAAGAACATGGATCTGGTATTATAAATTGGTCCAGTAGATGAACTAGCACCAAACAAATAGGCTAACGGTTCAAAACCCAAGTCTGAACTTGAGCTCGCAGTTTAGGTTGATTCTCAAAACATTGCTCTAGGCAGAAACAATCTGTTTTTAATGACACCAAAACTGGTGCCAAAGCAAGATCTAGAGGAATATTAATTACAAATTGATCTTGATCAGCATTCAACTCTGTTACTGTGAAACCCTCCAAAACAGCAATACATTTATATGATGACTAACTTATGGTTGGAGTTCCTCTCAAGGTCCAGACCAAGGAGGAGACTGGATAATTACTGATCACATTCTGAATCAAAGAAACATAAATCTTATAGAACTAAAAACGACTCAAATAGTTTTAGTTTTCTAACTTAGACTTTGATTACGAATTTCTTCTTAGTTTCACTATTTCACTCCTGTTCCAGCAAAGACAATATGAAACGTTTTGCATATCAGATGAAAAAGTCAACTAAAAATATTATGAATTTGAAACTTATGTTAAGTCATTCAGTTTAAGTCTGTTGGTGTAGTACAAATTGCTGCAGTGCCCAGCTGACCTGACTAGGCCTCACTCAGAGAAGCCATATTAGAATAAGTAATAATAATTATCCTTGATATAGCATCTTATCACGTCATCGAGGTGTCTCAAACTCCTTCACAAAAAATAATGTAAAGTGAATTCACTGTATATTTTGTGATCAAAACATGGCAGTCAATTGCGCACAGTACATTGTCAAGCTCCTTGATAATCCTCCCTCTATATAAATATAAATTGTATAATAAAGAATGCTTGCATTTAATATAGCACCTTTCACATTGGGAGACATGTCTCAAATCATTCCACAGGATTAAAAAAATCTAGTGACTGTGTGTTTTGCAGGCAAAATTTAGCAACTGCTTTTGCATAAAGTATTGTCCCACAAAACAGCCATGAAGTGAGAGACCAATTTTATTTGAAGGATTATTGGCCAGGACATTGGGAGAAGCTCCTTTCTCTTTTCAAAAAGTGCCAAGGGATTTTTAACGTCCACCTGAACAAACAGGACCTTGATTTAAATAATAATAATAATACTTATATTTGATAACAGCGCCTTATTATCGTGTCATTGAGACATCTCAAAGCAATTCACACTTTTTTTTAAACTGTGAAGGGTAGCGACTGTGTATTTGTAGGTTAAAGTGTCAGACAATTTGTGCACAGCAACGTCCCATAACCAGCCATGAAGTGAATGACCACTTTTATTTTGTGGGATTGTTGGGACAGGAAATAGGGACAAAATTCCCCTCTCTTTTCCAATAGTGGTGTGGGATCTTTTAGCATCTACTCGAACTGGTCGTTGTGGGACCTCGGTTTAACGTCTCGTCCAAAGGACGGCGACTCTGACAACTCAGTGTTCTCCCAGCACTGCACTGGAGAATCCGCCTGGATTGTGAGGGCACAGAGTCCCCACAAGCTTCTGACCCAGAGGCGAGAGCACTGCTGACTAAGCCAGGCTGTCTCACACACACACACTCACACACTGTCTCTCACACACACTCACACACTGTCTCACACACACACACTGTCTCTCACACACACACACACACTGTCTCACACACACACACTGTCTCTCACACACACACTGTCTCTCACACACACACACTGTCTCACACACACACACACTGTCTCACACACACACACTGTCTCACACACACACACTGTCTCACACACACACACTGTCTCTCTCTCACACACATACACAACACTGTCTCTCTCATACACAACACTGTCTCTCACACACACACAATACTGTCACACATACATATATACACACACTGTCACACACATACATACACTGTCCCACACACACACACAACGCTGTCACACATACACTGTCACTCACACACTGTCACACTCACTGTCACACTCACACACACTGTCACACACACACTGTCAACTTACACACTGTCACACATATTGTCACACACACACAACACTGTCACACACACGCACAGTCACTGTCACACACACACACAGACACTGTCACACCCACTGTCTCACACACACATACACACTGTCACTTACACACACTGTCACACATACATACAGACACTGTCACACTCACTGTCACACACACCCACACACTGTCACACACCCACAGTTCGCCAACCCTGTGAGGCGCTTTGAGGTATTTTCAGGTGATAAGGCGCTACAACGAATGGTGCGGCTGCGGGGCACAGCCTCAGCTCAAACTTTGGGAGCTTCAGAAACCACGATGGTGGAAAGTAAAGCTTTAAGAAGCCACAGCGCCTACCTGGGGGGTGTGTGCACTGATCCCCTGCCCTGCCTGCCCTGACTGACTAAGGCGGTGACTGACTGACTGACGCCGGGCCGGGGCCGCGTCGCCGACCTTCCTCCACACCAGCTCGCAAACCGGAAGCTGCCGCGGCAGGTGTGGTGGGAGGGGTGGGGGGGCGGTGATGCGGCTTGACTGACAGCCCACCGGACCAATCGCAGCCCCAGAACCCGGCTAAGCGGCAAACAGCCCATCCAATGGAGAGCGGAGGACGGGGGGGGGGGGGGGCGGGCGCGAGCAGGCGGGCGGGACGTCGCGCGCCGAGCGGAAGTGGCAGTTGGTCGGGCGCCGCGCGAGCGGCTGTCAACGGTCCGAGAGACTGAGAGCGGGAACTCGCGGCCCCTCAGCCCCGCACCCCTCCCCCCACCGCCACCGCCGCCGCCGTCCGGTGTGTCAGACTCCCCGCGATGTGAAATAAACTGACAGATGTTGTTATCCTGACGCGGTTGTCCTGAATAGGAACAGGGAGGCCATTCAGCTCTTCGAGTATGTGCCGCCGTTTAATTAGGAATCGGGGGGCGGTGGGGGAGGGGGGGATCCGCACCTCAACTGATCCCGTCAGTGCCAATGTCAGTCCCGCTGTTCTCCTCCCCGTGTCCCTCCACGCCCCGACCTGCCGTCCGTCAGTCGGTCGGTCATATCGACCTCAGTGTAGATCTCGAAGGTGTGGATGGATCTGCGGCCTTTTTTTTGGGGGGAGAGAATTCCAGATTTCTACCCCCTTTTGGGTGAGCGAACGGCCTGGTTCTGATTTTAAGACTATGCCCTCTCTCCCCCCCACACACTCTCCCCCCCACCCCCACACTCTCTCCCCCACTCCCCCTCTCCCCACCCCACCACCGCCTGGTTTTGGAATGGGCCCAAATGGCCGTCTTTCTGTGCTGTAAAACATCTATACCGCGTTGATTTGTTATTGGTATTTAATCCCTTCCAATATATATATATGTGTGTGTGTGTGTGTGTATTAATCATAATCCGGTCATTTCGATCCATGATTGTTTGTGGGAATATTCGACGAAACGGTCAGTGTTGTGGAGGTGGGCCGCCTGCTTGGCTCCCGTCAGCGCCTCCTCACTCCCCTCCTCACTGAGTCGGCACAGAACCTTGGTGTCCTGTTCAACCCTCAATTGCCTTTTAAACCCCGGATCAATGTCAGGACCTATCCTGCCTTTGCCCACCTCCGCCACATTGCCCACCTCCGCCACGTTGCCCACCTCCGCCACGTTGCCCACCTCCGCCACGTTGGCCACCTCCGCCACGTTGCCCACCTCCGCCACGTTGCCCACCTCCGCCACGTTGCCCACCTCCGCCACGTTGCCCACCTCCGCCACGTTGCCCACCTCCGGCACGTTGCCCACCTCCGCCACGTTGCCCACCTCCGCCACTACCTCTCCCCAATTCCTGCTGATGTTGCTGAAACAAGCCTGGATAATGTGAGGATCTGAATACGTATTTCTGTTGTGTTGTGAAAGTTTCTATGCAAACTATAAACAACATTGCCAGAGAACTATTGGGACATATTTTTGTATTTTTTAAGAAAAACATTTCAACTGAAGACTTAAGACTTAAAACGTTTTTCTCAATAATTCAGACTCATATCAATGTTGTTTATGTTGTCAACTGTTTGACTCCTTGTAAGATGGAGTTTCTCTGCACTGACAGCATCAAATGAGACACTGCTATCAGTAATCAATCACGTGGACATTCATTGTGAAACCACAATTTGATTTTCCAAATAAATATTTGTTCTGAAGCAGTGAATGTTATGAGTTTAATGTTGTAAGTAAGGCATGGATCCAATGTTCAAAATAACATTCATGCATGCTTATAAATAAATCCCTTATTTATTACTTGAATGTCAAAAGCAGTCTAGCTTCTTCTAAACATAAGTTATTCTTTCAGATAATTGCTACATCTAAGTTCATGTGACCTGGGTTCAGTTATAAACATCGGAATGTTTATAGCGGTAAATGTACGATTCAGTTTCCATTAGATAAAGCCATCTACAGCCAGGACAAAAGGTTACCCATGTTCCAATGCTGAGGAGAAAGGGCACAAACCAAAATGTAATATTCCAGTGACATACAATGAATGTTGTGTTTTATGGTGAACTGAAAATTTAGCCCTGGAGAGAAAATGTGTACAATGAGAAAAGGAACCAGGACCATCAAACGTTAAATTTGAGAAAAATAACTCAACAAAGAACTCATAAGCAAAGCTTCAACTACCGAAACGCGTGAGAACCAAATGAGTCTGAAATGAAAAGAGGCAGTATATTTGTGTACACCCACGTACGGACTGTGTCTAGTTATTGTAGGTCTGATCAAATGACTGCTTTGTTTTATATAGAAGGAGTATTGTGGACGTTTTCTTTTATAGTTTTTATGGTCAAATTATCTTATCTGCCCACTACACAGACACGTTGCCCACAGACACACAAGACAAGTGTCTTCCGCAGAAGTATAACCCTTCAAGCACTGGATGTCTTTTACAGCCTTTAAAATCTCAATTTTGGTTGCATTGTGTCTTCAGGAATGTTTTCCCACACATCCTGAGCTGGTTTAACTTTTTAAAAGAATTCTACAATGTGCAAAACATTTTTGATTTGTGGTATTTCTTACATTTTTTAAAATGTAAACACTTTATGTGGCAAAATCCTGTTCCATACTCAAAAGATTAAAACCCAGACTGATTCATGAGAATGCTTCATCAGTTTTCTGAAATAAGGGTTTAGTAAAAAATATTGTAAAAGGAAAGAATTCCTTATTCCTTATTTTCATACAACAACATCCGTGTTTATGTCATCCACTTAAAATGTCTGCTCTTGTATGTACATTCTGTCACTAATCAAGCCTACACGTTTTTGGCCCAAATTTCCATTGGTATTGCAGAGGAATTAATGACATTATTCTAAGAGTTCAGCAGTGCATGTCTCTTATGTAGCATAAGAAATTCGGTGAGTTTTTCTCCTTGGTGTAAAAAAAAGGTAAAGCTATTAAAACCTTCGTGCAGGGAGCATTAATGTGTGTAACTCTCAGTCTGGTTTGGATATTCTTAAGCACAGTGATGGGTTTCTACATGTGTCAGACACCTGCCTGACTAAAAACAATCCACTGGATTTAAGAAATTTCTACAATTCACAGAGTCCTTAAATTAAAATGTCCTTAAAAGTGAAATGGTCTTGGGAGTAAAAATGTGACAGAATTTCAGGTCATTGATGATAAAAGGAGTTTCAACCTGCAGATTCCTGAAAAGGCAGAGCTCTGTTCGGGGGAAAGAATAAAGTGATAGTTTGAAAGACTGGAGTAAATTGCCTTACTCTAGGTGGAGTCTCTCAAAAAGTATTCAACTTCAGAACTACGCAATCATTGCTAACGTTCGAGCAGGCAGTGATGATGTAAGAAAGAATTTGCATTTTTAAAGCACTTCGTCACTTTGAAACATCTCAAGGCAAACATCTTCCTGCTAATTACGATCTCGTGTAGTGACTTTTTGTAGGCAAATGTTGTAGCCAATTTTGTATAGATCAAGCGCTCTGAGACGCTACCTTGCATGAGGTGCTATATACATGCAAGTTGTTGAATGTTGCCATGAGGTGCATCTGGGGAATGTTGGCCAGGACAACAACAGAAAGTCTCTTCTCTGTTCCAATTGTGTTGTGGGATCTTTAACATCTGGCTGATGGGACTCCCTTCAGTTTAAAGTCTCATTTGAAAGATATTGATATTAATTTTGCCCCTTAAGACCTTTGAAGAGAAATACGGTCTGTTGGTTTATTAATTCCCAATTTGCCTCCTCTTTGGAGATCTTTCTTTACCATTGAGCTAGTTTCTAAAAGGGTGAATGAGGTCTGATCATTTTCCCTGTGGAGATTAGGTAACTTCAATTTGCTACCTCCCCCAGGTGGCATAGCCAAGATTAGGAATGTGTGGGTGTGTGGCTACGAGCATGTACATGCACACACAGGATTAGTGTAATAATGGGAGCAAAAGATAATCATTGGAGCACTGGAACGACTGAGAACATCAGGAAGATGTCATCAGCACATTGTCGAAGACTACCTTGTGAGTTGGGTGAAATGCTATTTCACACTTATACCCAATATTGAGCATTTCATGGAGTCACGAGTTCCTATATGGTAATAATTATGTTTTATTTAACATTATGTCAGATTAAATGTTATAATCTCTCCCTGGCTCGGCATCAAGCTCCACCATTGTCGAGTACTGTGAGACGATACGCTACGTGAAGGGCGCTAAATAAATGCAAGTTGTTATAAGCAATGAGAGCTCTTCAAACACTCCCAGTTCCGAGGCGGATGTATGTTGTGTTCTGAGGGTGTTTCATTATCGTCTAAACCAGGGTTTGATAAAACAAGACAAGATTCCCGCAAGGTACATTGATTTTACGCATTGATGATTGAGTCACTTTAGCTCAATGACTGAAGATCACTTGAAACATTTACAAATAGGTATTAAAGACAAATTTGTTCTGCCTTTTGCTGTCACAGTAAATGTTTTGGAATTGGCCGCACTGGTTCCATGAATGTTAAAGTAATCTCCACATAATAATTTGTAAAGAAAGGCTGACAATTTAATAACCATCACACCCATTTGTTTTTGTTCTTACTTGTCTCGATTAAATTGTATTACGCGATGACTCTTTAGTAATGTGCAAACGTGATTCACCCAGCAAGCTGTAGGCTCCCACAGTTATTTTACTTGATGCTATTAAGTGCTTGTGGTTTTCTGTTACAACACAAATGTCAAACTTTATGGTAAAACCTTAAATCAAAATAGCTCATTAATGGAAAGAGCTGATTTCAGTATTCGTTGCATAATGCATTACAGAAATACTGAAATCAGACCCCTTCAGAATGTTTTATTGAGGGATTAACTATTAAGTAAATAATCCAAGTTTCTGAAGTTGTTTCCTGCAGGTTAATTGGAGTCCAATCGGGTCTTTGCTCTCTCTACTGTCACTTAGACTCAATCCCTCTAATCTTGCAATAATGCATTCACAAACTGATTCCCCTTAGTTATACATGTTAGAAGTAGCCATGCTGTGTATATAAGTGTAACATGAGCAATCCTCAAACCT